CCATATTTAGGACTCCATCTCTCTCCATGTATTTGTATCTGTCCCTCTGAATCCATCTCTCTCTATCTCGGTCTCTGATTCGTTTGATTCTCACCAGTGACGTCTGCTCACAGTTCTCTTGAACCTTATTGTTTATCAATTTATATTCAACGTCCCCGGCGGCTTTGCCAGATTCTTCCGGTTAAGGACAGGGTTGAAGGTCAGTCCAGAGTTGAAGGTCAGTCTAGAGTTGACTCAACATTACCTGGCCTTACAACATTACAGTCTACAAGTTAACAGTTGCGTTGACAGTAAACCCACAAACTAATCGACTCTAGATTATTCACATGGCTACAAACTATTCATAAGACTACAGACTATTCGCACGACTACGAACCATCCACACGACTACAGACTATTCGCGCGACTACAAACTATCCACACGACTACAAACTATTCGCGCGACTATGGCCAATCATTAGTAATCTGAGAATTTGATCTCATCGTAAAGTAAGAGAAAGAACTGTTGTGTCATAACGTATTGTTCCCCTGACCTGTAGCAAGCGGGTAGCAAATGACTATTAGTATATTTAGTTAGCGCAACCACCCATTTCCTTTTAAGGATTACCACATAAAAGGAAACATAAATATTTATGTATTTCTTATACATGACATCCACACACCACGAACACCTCATACTCCTACATATAGCATGCTTCCCCCCCCCCTTCCCTTTTCCCCGTATTTCGGTTCATATCTCTGGAATTCGGGACTTGTATCAAGTTATCCCTGTATTATTGTACCGGTATATACAAGTTTGGGGACCACTGTCCTGAAAGTGAAAGACCATAAAAAATATAATTTTGTAGAGAATCGTGGAGCTCGAGTCGTGGAGTCGAAGGTTTTTGTGAAAAGTCTGACCACCAAATATTGTGGATATATATACCTTGAAAACACTGTTGATACAAATGATAAACATTGGGCTCGTCATTGTGTAAATTTAAAACAAAATAATACTATCAACAATGGATTACAGCATCTGACGTCACATTCTGAGTCATTATCTTAAGATCCAGGGAAGAGCACTATAGATAAAAAAAATATAACAATTTTAATGTGGGGAGAAAGGATGTAGAAGATAAAAAAAAATGAAGCCCTGTCACTCGCCTCCTCTAAATGATCTCCTAATGGAGTCTGGGAGCGGAAGGGATGAAAAATGCCACATCGAGGCTCAAATGCCAGTCCCCCTTATGGCGTTCTCGCCACTTGAAAAGAACAGCAAATTGTGGCGTAGCGGGCAGACCCCGTCTCTGATTGTTTGTCTAGGGACACCTAAGAAAGTCTGAATCAACACGGAACTGCTCGACATGGTGCACCGTACATTTGGGCCACCGCGCGTCACAACACCCGGAGAGTTCTCCTCTATGGCAACCCGTTTGTTATCGTTCTTTAGAAACACAAATACATTGTGGACTGCCAACATCTCGGGTGGACTTACAGTGTGAGTTTGCAAAGGGTGGCATTAAAAAGAAATATGTTTGTGTGTGTAGTGTTATCTTGTGGGATGGGGGGTGGGAGAGTAAGAAGAGAAGTAGTTATTTGTGGGATTGGGGGGGGGGAGAGTAAGAAGAGAAGTAGTTATTTGTGGTTCCGATCTGAAAATGTGCTGAGGAGAGTTTTGTGAGTCAAATAGAGGAGAGAGTAAGAAGAGAAGTAGTTATTTGTGGGATTGGGGGGGGGGGGAGAGTAAGAAGAGAAGTAGTTATTTGTGGTTCCGATCTGAAAATGTGCTGAGGAGAGTTTTGTGCGTCAAATAGAGGGCACCTGCCGCTGTCATCTTGTGTTGATGGCTGTGGTCATCTTACGTGATGCGGTCAGTACCATGCACACCCCACATGCTTCAAAGAGAACGAACTCAGCCTAAAAGGTTGTCCAGGTTGAGCATGCAATCCAGCTGTGGTCACTTCAGTCTCAGGAAATGATTCCTTTCCAGCAAAATACCCGGCTGTTTGAAAAGTCATTCCCTCGGCAATCTTATCCGATGTCGGTATCATTTCTTGAGTGGGGTCCACATTGCTAAAGAAATTATATACTTGTTTCAAATTCATGTTGTAATAATTCCTCTGACTTAGGCAACACATTTTTTACCCTTTGAACTTAAGTAACAATTTAAATTAAATTTAGCTACCCGTTATCATGGAGCAGAGTCTCTCATTTTTTTGGTAATTATATATATATTTAAGATCATTTATATCTATACCCACGGCCCCATTTTATTGAATCATGAATGTCAAGACAACCTATTAAACGTCTCTGTGCTACGGCGTCGTTAAGAAATATTAGGTACCGGTACATTCACAAACAAAAAAAACTTTTTAATTTCGGAGAGAAAAGAGTACATTGGGTTGGTGAATATCACTTCCGCTTTCATATCATATGTTGTTGTCATGGTTTGGCTGAGTCAACATGGATCGGATGACGTCACCGTGATTTGAGAGGAAAGAGATTATTCAGAGTAAAAGTATAAATGTTCTTTTAAAAACTAAATTATTGGGTCTGTTTTAAAAACTCATACTTAACTCACTGGAATTGAGTTTAAAAACAACAAACATGATTTGAGAACCAACCCAAAGTGGTAAAAGTAGGCGACAACCACGGGCAAGATACAATTTTACAAACATTTTGAGCGTAGCCAATAATTAATTCATATCTTATATATTTTAAAAAATCCCTAATCGAGAAATCAGATGCAGCAATCGCTGAATTTTTAATCTAAATGTGACATTTGGTAAGAATTATGCATGATTTAACTGTAAAATAATTGTTGAGGTGAAATTAATCTAAATAATTTTTATAGAAGCATTTAAATTTAATTATTTCGCAAGTTACATTCAAGGGGAGGTGACTCAGTAAACTTTTTTTTTCATTAGTCTAATTCGCTTAATTAACTCCCATGCTCAAAGCCGTTTCGCAAATAAACTCCACAGTTTCTCTTACTGAGGAATGTCTCCAGTGGCGTAGCAAGGGTGGTGCGGGCCGGTCCACTGATAGCCCTTGCTACTCCACAGACTTTCCCCCACATAACCTCACTTTGTGGCAAATATTCCGATTGAGACCGATATCTGGCTGACATAATTTTCAGAACTTAGGTCTATTTATTTTATATTTCCCTACTTTTAATGGATAACTTATAATTCTCTCGCATGTATTTTAGAGCTCACCTAAAAAAATGTTTGAGAAAATTTTGATTTTAAATTAATTTTTTTTTTTTTTTTCGTTTAGTGTACACAAGACAGATTTATCCAGCTGGCTGGTACATGTCCTTGTTTTTTTTTTCTTTAAATTTAAAAATGATTAAACAATTTTTCCGTTCCTTGTATTTAAATCAATAAAACAATATTAATAAAAAATTTTTTATAAAATTTTTTTTTTTAAATTATTTTTTTTTTTTTTTTCGTTTAGTGTACACAAGACAGATTTATCCAGCTGGCTGGTACATGTCCATGTTTGTTTGTTCTTTAAATTTAAAAATGATGAAACAATTTTTCCGTTCCTTGAACTGAAATCAATAAAAGAATATTAATCTTAAAATAATACGTTATAACTTGAAAACAGAATACTTTTATTTTAAAAAAATAAATTCTCCAAGAGAACACATTCAAGGAATGTCATTTAAAATGTTACGGTTGTAGGTAGATATTAAATGTTATCTTCAACTAACCGGTACCGTACCACAATAGCCCAGGCCAGGATGATCCATTTAAGCATTCAAAATAAGCACGTTTTAGGACATCAGGAGAAAAGGTGGGCATCACAAAAAAATAAAAATAATAATAATAATTAATAAAAATAATACTAATTACTAATAGAAAAAAACAACAGAGTTTTAAAGAAAAGAAAATCAAGTCTGCACTGTGGCTTATCACCTGATTTTGTTAATACCCTATATTAACTGTAAAAATAAAAGAACTATGCTGAGCAATAGATCCCTAGGGTTAACAAAGTGTACAGTTCTATATTAACTTTGGCACACTGTAGTACAATATGGTTTTAATTTATATGGTTTTGCTTGAATTAAATTTTATTTCTGTTATTTTTGCACTAAAAAATAATCATTCGAAAATATGATTTTAAAAAAATAATAATAATAATAAAATTTGAAAAAAATGCTACTGAAACTCCGGCGTTTTGAAAGCCTACATGGGCAAATACTTATGCCGATCTAAAGTCAGTATTGAGCTCTTCTTAACTGGCTGGCTGCGGCCCTGGTTGTACATTAGACATAGGCATAATATGCTAAATAGGACTGTGATGACCTAGTTGTGCTTTCAAATAAGTCACAGTCATTAGCCAAAATTTTTGTTTGTGGTGTACAGCTTCTACAATATTAAAATGTTCATGTCTACATAATGTAGGAGAAATCAATGTTTTAATAAATAAACTGTGAGTTAAAAAAAAATAATAATCAACTGGACATTGAAATTAAGACTTGCAGAAAAACAGAAAAAAAAAAGATTCATGTACAGGTAATTACAACTATTATAATAATTTAATTAGTGCCAAAAGATAAGCACAACAACAGGTCAAATGACATGCTCTGAGTTTATTTGACATAAATACTACCATGATAACAATATGCTCTGATAATAAACACTAATTTTAAAGAATGATCACAAAAAAAACTATAAATATTTTCTAGCTTGTTTTTAATTATTTAATCCAGCCAATCAGAAATAACTGGGTCGGCACAATTTAAAACTTGAGCAAGTCAGTTTCCAAAATCTTGTAAATCATTTTTTTTTAAAAATCTGTTGTCAAAGTAATGTTCCTTTTATTGTTCACGCTGGGATTTCAACACTAGATATTATCTACTAGAAAAGCAAGAGAGAACAATTTTTAAAAATAAATAAACATAATCATACGGTACTCCTTCACGCCACCCTACGTTTGCCACCCTAGGTTTGCCACTCCTTCTTGCCACCCTAGGTTTGCAGCTCCTTCTTGCCACCCTAGGTTTGCCACTCCTTCTTGCCACCCTAGGTTTGCCACTCCTTCGTTTGCCACTCCTTCTTGCCACCCTAGGTTTGCCACTCCTTCTTGCCACCCTAGGTTTGCAGCTCCTTCTTGCCACCCAAGGTTTGCCACTCCTTCTTGCCAGCCTAGGTTTGCCACTCCTTCTTGCCACCCCTACCAAACGTCGAGGAAGTTGCCACCCAAGGTTTGCCACTCCTTCTTGCCAGCCTAGGTTTGCCACTCCTTCTTGCCACCCCTAGGTTTGCAGCTCCTTCTTGCCACCCTAGGTTTGCCACTCCTTCTTGCCACCCTAGGTTTGCCACTCCTTCTTGCCACCCTAGGTTTGCCACTTCTTCTTGCCACCCTAGGTTTGCCACTTCTTCTTGCCACCCTAGGTTTGCTACTCCTTCAGGCCACCCTAGGTTTGCCACTCCTTCAACCCGCTCTAGGTTAGCCACTCCTTTGCCCCAAACTAGCTTTGCCACTGCTAACAATATTTCTTAACTTGAGAACCTTCCAATGGACTGCCAGTCTGCTAACATTTGGCAGTGAGTTCCTCAATGACTTATTCTGGGTTATTTGGTCACCTCATTGCTTTCTTCATTACACCAGCTTTATTCTCACTGTCAAATTAGCTATTTATAAGTATTATGTACATGTACATGATAATAAATTCACTTGGTAAACTATTCTTCTATGGCCTTTTCCTCTGTACACATGACACCAGTCTCAGGTTAATTAATAAATAAATAAGAACATTAGATTTGAATAGCGTATATTAGATGGCATTTTTATTTTAACATTGTGAATCATGAAACATTTGGTAATTAAAGTGGAGCAGTATACAGGGTCAATCATTAAAGTTTGTCTACAGTACAGTTAGTGGCCCATACAGTGAGTATCCCACACAGTCTGTAAACCAATACAATCAGTGAACTAGTACAGTCAGTGGCCGACACAGTCAATAAACCAATACAATCAGTGAACTAGTACAGTCAGTGGCCCACACAGTCAGTAAACCAATATAATCAGTGAACTAGTACAGTCAGTGGCCGACACAGTCAATAAACCAATACAATCAGTGAACTAGTACAGTACATGGCCCACACAGTCAATAAACCAATACAATCAGTGAACTAGTACAGTCAGTGGCCCACACAATCAGTAAACCAATACAATCGGTGAACTAGTACAGTCAGTGGCCCACACAGTCAATAAACCAATACAATCAGTGAACTAGTACAGTCAGTGGCCCACACAGTAAATAAACCAACACAGTCAGTGAACTAGTATAGTCAAAGGACCAAGTCGGTGAGACAAAGTTTACCTATTGTGACGGCTATCAGCTCATTGTCATCACATGTCCAGTTATAAATGAATGTCATATGTCCAGTTATGAATGAATGTCTTACGCCCAGGTATAAATGAATGTCATATGACCAGGTATAAATGAATGTCATATGTCCAATTATGAATGAATGTCATATGTACAGGTATAAATGAATGTCATGTCCAATTATGAATGAATGTCATATGTACAGGTATAAATGAATGTCATTTCCAGTTACCAATGAATGTCCTACGTCCAGTTACCAATGAATGTCCTATGTCCAGTTACCAATGACTGTCCTATGTCCAGTTACCAAAGACTGTCCTACATTCAGTTACCAATGAATGTCCCATGTCCAGTTACCAACGAACGTTCTACGTCCAGTAACCAATGAATGTCCTATGTCCAGTTACCAATGAATGTCCTATGTCCAGTTACCAATGAATGTCCTATGTCCAGTTACCAATCAATATCCTACGTCCAGTTACCAATGAATGTCATATATCCAGTTACCAATGAATGTCCTACGTCCCGTTTCCAATGAATGTCGTATGTCCAGTTACCAATGAATGTCCTACGTCCAGTTACCAATGAATGTTCTATGTCCAGTTACCAATGAATGTCCTATTAAAAAATAGTTCAACATTTTGACTTCTGTCTTACTTAACTTGTATCTGAATGTTTTAAGCACACACACACACAAACAAGCTTTCTATACATCCCAAGTGTTCGTAGCAACTTCATAGAAGCCATATCACTACTCAATTTTGAAAGCCATGCTGTCTGGTGAATGGCTTATTTAAGACACTAACAAGCCAAGAACGTTTTCTGCGGGAAATATCTTGAACAAAATATGCTGAAGCTAAAAGAACTTCACTCCTTCATGCCCATCAAAATCCATAAATTCTGCCTTGCCCTCTGCCTCCAAGGACCTGAGAGCTCTAACAAGGATCTCTTTATCAAGTCCGTGGAATTCTGAAACAAAATAAAATTTCAAAGGGCTGATATGTTAAGCCAGTGCATTAACAATATCTCTTTTGTTAGAAAAAGTTGACTCAACATAAACTTACGATGAATCAACATAATACAGATTGAATATTTACTATGTAAAAACAGAGATAAACTGTTGCCGAGGTCATGTCATATAAATAAGTATGATGTCAATCGTTCTGTTTGCGACTAACTGGTCAGATTTTATAAAGATTATTGGTTTTATGGTGCTACGTGGAAATTTATGATTATAATACTGATTATAATTTATAATACAAGTCATTACATGCTTTATTTTAAGATTGAAAGTACATTCCATTGGACTGTAAAGTGAACAATTTAAAGATCACACTTCTTTTTGAAATGACAAAACAAGGCATGCTATACACAATGATACTAATGACAGCTGGTTTGTCAGGCACAACTACACAATGATACTAATGACAGCTGGGTCTGTCACAAAAGCCCCCCTGTGCACATATGGAAGCACCTTGTGGCTGACATACAGCCCACAAGACCTTAGATGAAGGCCTGTGACAGTTATTAAAAATTACATCAAGCAATAAATATTTATAGAGAGCTCACAAAAATAAAATTATATCAACACACATTTTTAATTATTTAAATTTAAAGATTTCACCTGTCAGAAACCAATGTGTGCCATGTGCATTGGTTCAGAAACCAGTGTGTGCCATGTGCATTGGTTCAGAAACCAATGTGTGCCATGTGCATTGGTTCAGAAACCAATGTGTGCAATGTGCATTGGTTCAGAAACCAATGTGTGCCATGTGCATTGGTTCAGAAACCAGTGTGTGCCATGTGCATTGGTTCAGAAACCAGTGTGTGCCATGTGTATTGGTTCAGAAACCAATGTGTGCAATGTGCATTGGTTCAGAAACCAATGTGTGCAATGTGCATTGGTTCAGAAACCAGTGTGTGCCATGTGCATTGGTTCAGAAACCAGTGTGTGCCATGTGGATTGGTTCAGAAACCAGTGTGTGCCATGTGCATTGGTTCAGAAACCAATGTGTGCCATGTGCATTGGTTCAGAAACCAATGTGTGCAATGTGCATTGGTTCAGAAACCAGTGTGTGCCATGTGCATTGGTTCAGAAACCAATGTGTGCAATGTGCATTGGTTCAGAAACCAGTGTGTGCAATGTGTATTGGTTCAGAAACCAAATGTGTGCAATGTGTATTGGTTAAGAAACCAAATGTGTGCAATGTGTATTGGTTCAGAAACCAATGTGTGCCATGTGTAGTGGTTCAGAAACCAGTGTTTGCAATGTGAATTGGTTCAGAAACCAGTGTTTGCAATGTGTATTGGTTCAGAAACCAATGTGTGCAATGTGTATTGGTTCAGAAACCAAATGTGTGCAATGGGTATTGGCTCAGAAACCAATGTGTGCAATGTGTATTGGTTCAGAAACCAGTGTTTGCAATGTGAATTGGTTCAGAAACCAGTGTTTGCAATGTGTATTGCTTCAGAAACCAATGTGTGCAATGTGTATTGGTTCAGAAACCAGTGTTTGCAATGTGTATTGGCTCAGAAACCAGTGTGTGCAATGTCTATAGGTTCAGAAACCAAATGTGTGCAATGTGTATTGGTTCAGAAACCAGTGTGTGCCATGTGTATTGGTTCAGAAACCAAATGTGTGCAATGTGTATTGGTTCACAAACCAGTGTGTGCCATGTGTATTGGTTCAGAAGCCAGTGTGTGCCATGTGTATTGGTTCAGAAACCAAATTTGTGCAATGTGTATTGGTTCAGAAACCAAATGTGTGCAATGTGTATTGGTTCGGAAGCCAGTGTGTGCCATGTGTATTGGTTCAGAAACCAAATTTGTGCAATGTGTATTGGTTCAGAAACCAATGTTTGCAATGTAAATTTGTTTGGAAATTCATTGGTTTTAAATTGAAGAGAAATAAATTTACAGTCATGTTAATTTTTGTATTGTATATTCACGAAAGCTGCTATTCTGGTCTGTACACTCAGGGGACATTGCCCTCAGCTATATATCTGGTCTCCATAGTGAGTGATCCTTGACCGTCGAAAGGTCAAGAGCCTCCTTTCTCCCCTTGCAAATTAGAAATTAAATAATTCTTTGCGAGCATCATGAAACGTTCAATCTATTGGTATTCCATCCTAACATCTCTATAGCCTAGCTATTCTTGAATCACATTCAATCCATTGGTATTCCATCCTAACATCTCTATAGCCTAGCTATTCTTGAATCACATTCAATCCATGATGGTTCCCTCTTAACATCTCTATAGTCTGGCTATTCTTGACTCAATCTTACCTTCACCCTCACTGTCCTCGCCATTGCTCAGCTCATACAGAGTACACACCGTGTTGTTCATTGCTTTTGATGAAATCTGCCAGACATCAATAACAGAAAATATCTTAATGTTTAGTATCACAATAAAATTGATCCAGGTAGACATAGGTGAAAGAAAAATAACAATGGCCACAGAAAATAACATGGTGTCATCAAAAGAGTGGAGGTGGTGGAAATAATTAACAAAAATTTGATGTGTCCTTATGCAAAAGTATTTTCACATTAAAAATATGTTAAAAAAACATTAGTGTGTGTGTGTGTGTGGTGTGTATGTGTGTGTTTGTGCTTGTGCGCCCTGGTTGGGAAAGTGTGCTCAAGGGCCCTCCACACCATGATGAAACCACCACCGGGTTATATTTGTATATTCACATTATATATTAGTTCCAATAAACATAAGTGGTCTGGGTACAAAGGCATGTTCAAGGGGCGTCCACACCACAATGAAACCACCACTGGGTTATGGGCCGCCCACACCACAATGAAACCACCACTGGGTTATGGGCCGCCCACACCACAATGAAACCACCACTGGGTTATGGGCCGCCCACACCACAATGAAACCACCCCCACGTCATGTTTGTATATTTAAATTATAGAATATATTTTCTAAAACTCAGCAGTAGTTTGTTAAATGGGTGCTGTGCTAACCAAAACATTACATTATAAGTCAATCAGATACAAAGTCAAACAGCAACATACCCAGTTATAAATAATTTTGCCCCACTCAGCAGGTGTCCTCCAGATTAGTGTACAAGCCTTGCGATTTTTATCTTTCCATTCTAAATTTCCTGAAAAATCCAAAACAAAGCATTTTATTTTATGATAAGAACAAAATCTTTTAAGACCCACAAACCTTTGAGCAGAAATTCTGGCCAAATTATAGCTTCCCAAACTACAAACAGTACGCCATGAGTTATTGGAAACATTTGGGATAAGAGTCAACTTAATATTATTTAACTCAATATCGTGTTCACTGCAAGACTATTTGTGAACATGGCCAACTAACAGGAATCTTAATTTAGTCAAATTTTTGTTGAACACACAGTCTGTGGCAACATTTTCTTTTCCTCATTCTATATTAAGGGTTTTGGTTTTTTTAATTTAAATTGGCAACTACAGTTTTAGGTGTATTATCAATGTTATTATTTAACTAATAATTCCCACTTTGTTTCAAAACAAATTCTATAAACCTACAAATAATTACCTCTTCTCTTTAACTCATCAAGAACTATGTATATTGCCTCTAAAGACAGCCTTCCTGAAAAATATAAATATTTTACAAATAATAGCACAAATATAAAAATTAACACAATGTTATTGTCTTAGTTACTTATATTTCTATCACGTCTTTTTTCTTCCTTTTCCAACTACAGTAACATTTTGTGTCAATAAATTAAATCCCTTTGAGCAACCACTTCATTACTGATGACATCGACGCACTGTCACCCACTTTCAATTACCAAGGACGTCACATTGTCGTCATAACAAAAAGTTAAAGAACTTTTCTGAAATACCAAGGACGTCATGTCGACGTCAAATTTCAGTGCCATATATTTCCTTATTCGTTAATCTATAGAGAAGTTAAAAAGCGAATCGGATAGAGAATGAAATATACCGAAAATTTCATCGTTCAAGTTTTTTATTGCTGTGTCAGCAAAAATCTATGCCCCCCCCCTCCCCAAAACCCTGATTTTTTTTTGCTGGTTCAGCAAAAAACCTTTCCCCCCCCCCCCCCCAAAACCCTGCGGTAGCGAAGGGGTTAAAAACCAAGTGCATTTTCTTGGGTTGTGTACTTTTGTATTGATTGGCTTCCACAACAGAGCTATCTATCTTAACATTTGGCTCACCTACTCCACAAGTTTTTCTGTGCAGGTTTGCTTTTCTGTTACGTTCTGTTATCAGTATGGAGAGATTATTCTCTTATTTAATTAAATGTATGGCTTGCTCTAAAAAATAGCAAAGAATACGATACTCAAACCAGGACTAATTACAATTAATAAGTTTTATTAAGTTAATGATAAATTTTAAGAATCAAAAAGAAATATAATTAAAACTAGTGACTTACAGAATAATGTTTGGCTTGTACCGGTACAATGTTGAAGAAGATACAATGTTGTAAAATGTACAATGACGAAAATAAATCTACACACACACAGTAAGCAAAACTGTCTAGCAAAAATAACACACGTTTAAAATAACTCTAACTCTCGTCTGTTGTCTGGTCATTCAATCTCTCGGCTTTATATATAGCCTGTTTCTTTAGACAATGCTAGAAGGGTACGCAATGTACTCCCTTCTCGCTGCTTCTACAATATTCTAAAAAATTCGAATCATGTTACAGACAATAGATTTTAGATAGGTGTTGCCGAGGTCAAAGGGAGACTATAATTAGTAAGCCACGGGCTAGTAATAATGCAGCCGAACTGCGGGTCAATGCACCCCCATTCACCAGAAAAGATGAATGAAAGTAAATGGGACGCATATAACACTAACCTTTTCCAAGTCATTCACATCCAAAACATGGAGCTCTGTGATCGTTCAAATTAATTTGGTTTTCCAAATTGTGTACAAGGTCAGTTTTGAACGTGAGACAATCTAAACTTTTGAAACTGAGACAATCTAAACTTTTGAAACTGAGACAATCTAAACTTTTGAAACTGAGACAATCTAAATTTTTGAACCTGAGACACTCTAAACTTTTGAAACTGAGACCATCTAAACTTTTGAAACTGAGACAATCTAAACTTTTAAACCTGAGACCATCTTAACACTTGAGCCTGAAACCATCTAAATACTCTTCCCCAGTCAAAGCAGCATCACTACAACTCGGCTTCCTTCATAATAAGACTGAACTCACTATTCAACTGTTTATTGTAAAACAGCTCGGAACTCTGAGCTTCTGTGACATCCAAGTTGTAACGTTTCACCTGACGCTGATAGCCCAAGACAAGGCTGCACCAGGCCTCCAGCTGCTTCTTTCTTGTTTCAATATTGGGCTGTATCCTGTGAAGAAAACGTTGAATTCTACAGGCCCATGTTATTAATTGTTAGCAGAATATAGTTCTTGCATGCTGGAGTGTTGATTTTAATTCTGTGGGAAGCATACTCATTTATTGAGAGTAAAAGCTTGTGAATAATATGTGTTTCAAACAAAGTAAAAAAACAGTCAAGTTCATTTGACCTACTAGTCACAATACAAGCTCAAAATTTACAACTACATTTTTAAAGGTAATAATCTGAAATTGCACTCAGTTTTAGTGCTAACATCAGCAGCTTTTCTATTGAAATCTACATTATTTATAGTAGGAACAGTATTAGCTCTTCTAGAAGGCGCTTAAGCTGGGGGTGGAGCTGGTGTTCATCAGCTGATGAATTACGGTATCAATTTCATAACTAGTTACGTCACTAGTACCACCACTACTATGATTATACGATTCATCAGAATCAGCCTCTACATCCGAAATCATAAAATCACTGTCTGAATCGTCATCAGAGTAATATTTTCAACCTTTATTAGAGATCACAAGATGGGTCAGGTCAAGATTTCATGTTTGTAAAAAAAAACTATATATACTATATAGTAAAACAAAATAATGCGTTCATAAAGAAATTTGACGCAAAATTTTAACGTGTGAACTGAAAAAAAGATTCGACCAAATTTCTGTTCGATCCAATAGCCGTCTAAGAAATTTATTTCAAACAAATTTCCGGATTTATTTTCTTTTTGGTAGAACCTGCAATTAAGTGTGAAAATGTGTGATTTGGGTTTTAACTATTTTTTTATGTTTAAAATATTTTGTATTGTTTTTCTTAGTTTTTACTTCTTTCTTACCACAGTGTCCATAGAGTGCATTTGTAGCACACATGTTGTAGTTGAGGGAAGGGAGAGACCAAAGGTTGACATTGACACTTCTTGCCTAATATTACATCAAAAGGATACAATAAAGTTGCTATGTTGGCCACAAAATGTAGCCTATGTACTAGCTGAAACTATTTCATTAAAATTTGTTTCTCTTGGTAAGTAATTAAAACAGCAAATTCTCTCTCTTTCCCCTCCCTACTTTGGCAGAAGTGTATTTGCACTACTTTTTGTTTTACATGGCCGCCATCTTGGTTGCCATGACATGTGTCATCATGGCAACCAAGATGGCGGCCATGGGGGAAATAAGTGTCGTGCTAAAACCAACATTTACCCTACTAGTACTAGCCTACTATTATCGTGAGGCTTACACGCTGGCTGACACTATCAAATGGTGACACTAAAACCATTTAGAAGTAGTAAACAAAGTCAAGTGTGACACTTAATCCCAGTAATCTCAATCTGAGTAATGTCAATGATGTGATTAATTGTCAATATTATTATTGACACTGAATCAGTGAATTTAGTTTCAGTGTCCGTCGGGCTGAGACCGAGCAGTGTGAGGTCGAAGCTCAGCACCACTAGGCTCTCGGTGGTGTTATATGGGATCTTGCCTTTTTGTGGCATGACGGATGACGGATCAGTAGGGAGGTTTTCCTTCTGAAGCTAAAAGATCCCGGCCAAACGCATGACTTCCAACGCAACGGAGTTGCGCGCCAACATGATTACGTGTCGCCAATAATGGATATGAGGCCTGAGTGAAAACAAAACCCTTGCCGAGGATTAAAAACATGCGGCCTTGAGAAAGCCGCTCCTAGGTGACCGTTTCGTCTCGACATTGTCCCGACCGAACTGACGGTGGGGGGAGGTAATGCAACACCTTCCCCCGGAGAGGAAGCAAAGCTGTTTCAACCCATAGACCGCACAACTCCCAGGAGCGGTGGGAGAAAGTCATGCTAGAGACTGCTCCCGGAGAGGAAGTAAAGCCGTACCACACCCCGGACCGTACAACTCCCTGGACGGTGGGGCCAGGTAACGCAACACCATCCCTGGAGAGGAAGCAAAGCCGTTCCAATCCCATGTCCAGACCGAATGACTCAATGGGCAAGGGGGTGGCGACGCAAAACCTCCCCCTAAATGAGTGGAAGCAAACTTGCTAAACCCTCCTGCTCGAGACTGTGTAGCATGGCCGGAGTCCTTAGAGACTACTGGGCATGTTTCATGGCCAGGGTCCTATGAGATAGAATCTCAACCCATAAGAGTAATGCGCTTTAGGAGTTTCAGTGTAAATCAAGTGTTAGGTGTTAGTGTTAGTGTTAGATGTTAGGATTTGGTTTGGATGCTGGCTCAGTAGCTGATTTGTCTTTAGTCTTTACATATTCCAGAGAAAAAATAAATTAGTTAGTTTGGTGATCTGTAAATCATAACAGAAGCGACATAAGTGACATGTTCATTTTAATTTTAAGGGGTTTATGTTATCCACCTACGTGAAAAAAGGAGGAAACTTGTATTGCCAGGGCCAATCGAAGTCAGCCATCTTGAAACTTTTTCTTGTAATAATAATTTACAATGAAAGAATCGATTACATGGAAAAAAAATGAAATCAACAATTTAAAAAATAATAGAATAAACAAACGAATGACATATTTAAAGTTATCGTATTCATTTTTAGGCTCTAAATAAAGCTGCATTATGTTTGGACACCATTTCTTTGTAAGTTGTATGTTACTTCGTACTTCAATAAAGGGAATATTTTAAAGTATCGAAGAATTGGAGTCATGTTATATTTAAGACCAAATTTTTATGGTCCAGGTGTTAAATTAGTTGAGCCAGTAATGTAAGGTAAGGTTTTAGGAAATTTTTTAATAGTTTATTATTTTTTTTAAACACCCCACTACCGAAATTACCAAATCGGTGTTTTATTTATTCATATCCAGTTATAATTTTATTTGAAGCAGTCAATTATTTTGTTAATTTTACATTATAAACTTTTATAAGGGAAATCATGTACGGATTCAGTAGGGCATGGAACACTCTTACTTTGTTGAAAATTTTCATCCTTTGATTATTTTTTTTAATAAAATTATTTAAAGACATGCCATTTTAACATTTTGAAAAAGAAAATTTGAAAGATTTTTAACTATCCAAAAAGTAGCAGTTAAAGTGGACAATGGTCTCCGCTGTGGTCCACAGTGTGAATAAAAACAATCAAGAGTTTAAGTAGTCATTGAATATATAATCCCAGGAAACAGTGAATAAAGCCAAAAATCACGAAATGAGCTTGAAAAAAAAATAAAACAAGGAATTTGTTAAGTTAAACCATAATAATTATGAAAATAGCAAGATTTTGGTTGTAGATCGTAATAAGAAAAACAAAACAGCAAATTTTGCAAAATGATATAAATTTTAATCACTGGACTTTTTCATTACTTTCAGAAAGATAACATGCCAAAAAATGTTCAATTATTTGAGATAAATTGAAAGCATTTGACTGAAAGATGTTGAAATTGTATTTGATAATAAAATATCTAGGCAATATAAATTAGCCAATATATGTCATTTAAAAATAATTTTCAAGCCAACAACTCAAAATTTTGACAATTTTATAATCACACTCAAATAAGATAAAGGAACTCAAGGAGTCTCACAGTATTACATTTTATTTTTTCTCATTTTAAAATAAATTTCATTTAGAACAGGATATTCAAGATTTTTTAATTGTCATTTAAATTTAATATTGATCTTTTTGTTAGTGTAGTGTTAAACAAAATACAATAGTCCTAATATTTTTGATGTGTCAAACTTTAGTCTTTAGCTTTGAAAAATAAATATAACAGACAATTGTATGATGTAATTTTCAACCCAAGTCAAGTAATAAATTGCAATTTTTTTACACAAAAGTTATAAAAAGTCATTCTGAAATTATTTCTGAAACATGTCCAGACAGTAAGGTTTTTCAATTATCATTTTGGTACCAGTAATTTTTAAATAGAATAATTTTATATGCCGGTAACAATCTTTACTATCATGTATTACAAACATATTTATAATTTTCTTGAATTTATATAATTTATTTGAAGTGTATGTATTTGCTTTACTATCTAAATATATATCTTCTATTACCCAGGTAGGTTAAGTTAAAATAACATTTCTGAAAGCTTTTGCATGTCAACTAGAGCAAGTATAAAGGTTGTGTATTTATTAGTTTACTAGATGAGTAGATGGGGCTACACAACCACATTGCACATGTAAAATAAGGGAAGTGGTGTATAATCTATAATAATAAATTCAGATGGCATTTCATATATCCACAATTTATTATGACCTTTAGGTGTCATCATAGTATTTCACTTTTAAACTGCTTTGTGGTCAAATCCTGGCTGAGAAAATACTTCAAGTGGGTCTGAAATTATTAGGAAAATAATTTGTATGTAAAGCCCCAGTTATTTTTTCAAAGAGATGTAATAATCATGAAACTGGCCTTTCACCGGATTTTCCTTAGTTACGTCCTGGCAGGACAGACAACATCCGCTATGTAATTATTATTATAGATACATCCATTAAAAGGTTTTATGTGTTAGTGCCAGAACATTTCAATTACTAGTGTGTTTACAATCTTTAATTTTTATAATAATTACCTTTTATCAATACATTTATGTGCTTTTGTATAGAGAAATTATATTTCCTTACATTCAGCAGTCATTATGATATAGAAATAGAAAGTTAAATATTTGAATTAGGCAGGAGGGTTCAAAGTTATTTATAGAAAAATATGACCTTGTGAAGCTCAGAATCAAAATATAATTATTGCTACTTAGTGTTTAAGTCCTGAATAAGTTATTTGGTTTGGATCAGATGATCAATTAACTATCAAGTGATTATCAAGTAACTATAAAGTGACTATCAAGTGACCATCAAGTGACCATCAAGTGACTATCAAATGCCTATAAAGTAACTATCAAGTAACAATCAAGGCCTGGTACATTCCTGTGTAAAATCCTAGAGAGACCTTGTGATGATCAGTTCTGGAGTAGAGGAGAGGTACAGTTTCAGAGCTTTCAATATGTCGTTTGGTCTGGCCTAGTTGGGGGATCGAACCAAGATCAATGTTATCAAACAGGAGCTGCAGCTGCTCTGTGCAACATAGACTGCTCCGCAGACAGCAATGCTGAGGTTGGGAAGCCTGGTCAGAAAGACGTTCAGATTTAGATTCAGTTGATTCCATTGACTGTCCTCGTGGGAAAAATGATGAATGCGCGGACCCACAATGCACTTTTCCAGAAAGCTTTCCGAACCAGCCATCACAGGCTGGATTTAGACAGCAGTAACAGTCACATGATTTCTCACTGTTTAAACCAGCAGATTCAAGTCTAGATTCAGGGACAATATTTGAAGCCGGGGTCGCAGGATCAGAGAATGCAGGAGTAGAGCTGGAGTCAAAAGAATGCTTATAATGGTGCTTACGGTCCCTCTTTCGAAACTTAAGGGATTGATCAGCAGGGCCAGCAACGGATGATTCATCTTTATCAGACTTGTGCGAAAGGGATGCTCCCAAAAAATTCAGGGGTTTTGGCTTGAAAGTTGCCACTGCCCAAAGTTGGGATAAGAGAGAGTCAAGAAACCAAAGGGACCAGAGAGAGGAGTGACGGGCTGGATTAATGGTACTCCTTTTATCTTCAGATGTAGAGCTGTTATCAGTGACGCCAGATTCTTCCTTTTCTTGAGATTTCATCATAACGTAAGGGGGATCTTCTCCTGGGTCAGGGACTATAGAACCATCATTCCAGCCACCCTTCCTGTTCCACGTTTGGGGGCGAAAATCTTCATTAGTTCCTTCATCCCAATCAGAGTGATTATTGGGTGTGACGACCAATGAACCAGGGTCTCCTCTGTTGTAGAGAGGAGATGTGAAAGTGGAGGGATCCACTAAAGGCATGCTGTTGGACAGGATCATAGTCAGGGGAGATGACTGCAGAGTAAAGAGAGCCACGGCCACAGAGGAGAGGGGTCCAGAGACTTGAGCAGCCAAAGCTGTTGATCCTAACATGCTGATGATACCAGTCAGGTACACCGCAGAGAAGGCACTCATCAGCTGTGGGATTGATACAAGCAGAGTTATCATTTGGACTTAACAGTATACTGCTGTTTTTTGTACTTAATTATAATGAGACAACTATGTTGACATGTGATCTGAAGCAAACTCATAATAGGTTCCTGTACTTTATATAAGGGTAAATCACAAATTCTAAAATGGTCCATGTTAAAACTTATTCCACAGACTTAACCCTTTACACTCCAAGCCTATTCAGCCTTTTCTACTCCCAGCGACCAAGCAAAGGGACATAACTCCATTTTTAAAATGAAGGTTCTTTATCTAATTAATTTACAGAAAATAAACTAGAAGCAAGAAAAGAAAATAAAAAAATACCTAAATACAAATAAATGATTAAAGCAAAAGTTGCATCTAAAAACAGTTTCGGGGACCCTCCCACTTTGATTTGTGAACAATTCCCAGACCACTCATGATCTTGCTGATCAGTTGGAGTGGAATTGATAGGTCCGTTGTCACCGATGTCGCCACTATTACTATTATCTTCTTCACTTGAATCACTATTACTAATAGCGTCATTTAAATTAATGTCTATATCAGATTCTTCACTATCGCTGCTAGATTTATGAAATAGTTAAGCTTCATTAGGCCTAAGTTCTTTCAAAATTTCATCCAAGGCTCGGAAAGCTATTTTTTACAGTGAAAAAAATCATGACTTTTTAAAAAAATCATAGAAAATAAGCCCTTAAACACAAAGCATTCAAACTGGTATCAAAATAAATGCCCACAACGAGGCTTTCTTCCGGTAGAACTACAAATAGTAATACACAAGGGATTTCCGCTGTGCTAAAAAAGAAAGTAAACAAACTCAAAACGGACGGGTTTGGCCGCAATGAACTGTAGGCTTAAGGAAAAAATATGCGCATTTCGGGTGCTTCGGATGTAAAGGGTTAACAATGTTGAGTATTTTTTAAATATAAATAAGTGTATATATAAATAAGACATTCTAAGAAAGCAAATAATGTAGATTATAAGGTACAGGACAAATTTGTTCAAGAAATTGTCCTAATAGAACAATGAAAGCTGCTCTTTTGTATCTCATTTGCTGATTAAACACAACATATCTCTTAACAGCAAGGGGAAAAAACTTATCAAATGGTTAGTCCACTCTAGTTTGTTGTAGGGTCGATGGAAAAAAAACAAAAAAATTCAGTTTACAATAAAGCCCTGACCAATACAAAACACTAGCTCATCATCTAAATAAATATTTGGTAGCTCAATAGTACCTTGGAACACTCCAGTCCAACTTGTAACCACAGAGTTCCCATCAGGTCGGCATTCAACAGCACGTCAAGTTCGGCATAGGTAAACCAGTTTCTCTTTAATCCTTCTCGCAACGCCAGTCTAAACAAAATAACCAAAAAAAGAACAATTTCAAACTATACTCTGCCAGACCTTGCCAAAAGTGATCCCTCAAGACTTCTGATGGTTAGCTTTGAAACCAGAAGTCGGGTAATATGAAGATTAAAAATTATTTCATCTAAAGTAATGCTGAAAGTTAGCACAATTTTAGTATAATTTACTTAAGCTGTTAAATAGTGTCAACACCCCAGGGACCCCTTTTCATCTACTAGCTTGTGCAGTTGATCTTTCTTTTCTGTGAGATACATGTTTTGAAATTAACAGGGATAGCAGGGATAATTGGGCTGCTGGAATTCCTGCTCAAAAGAAATCAGAGCAATGGGTATTGGTATTTGAAAGCCCAACATAGCTTAGATTATAATCCATCTCACCTTCTCTCTATGGCAACTAAGGTATCCTCAAATTCATCCGGTTTTACAAAGAGTCTCCAGTCCTGTTACATCAAAATAAAAAGATTTCAAGGACTTAACATTTTTTATGTGTATGCAACAATTAGGGTTGGCTTTTATAAAATAAATATGCTTTGGCTACAAACATTCATCAGGAATACATGAGTTTAAATTTTAAACAACATTTTGCTTATCTACTGAACAGAATGAAAAAAGACTAAGAAGGAGCAGTAGTCTCAAGTCCCCTACTCGGAAAATATAGAAAGAAAATGCAGCAGTGTAGAGAATGACAGAAACAATCATAATTCTTAAACTCCACTCCACACATAACAATGCAATAATTTCTATGAAATTATTACAACCGTGCAAGTTCTAGTTTGCAGTAAATACGTGCTATAATTAAACATTTAACTTGGATACGTTGCACTTAACAGAGAGACAAAACTTCTTTGGGGAAGCAACATACCATTGCCTGCAAAAAGTCCATTTCCATTTGGTTGACATCATCTACCTCTTGATCTGTGTTATCAGCCCATTCGTCATTAAAGACTTCCTCTTCAACACCTTCATCATACAAGTACTTGCTGGCCATCATCTGAAGATAAACAAAAAAAAACAGTGTTGCCATGAAAGGAAAAAATGTACTTTTTAAACATAGAATGGATGCCCTAGATCCAAACAGGACCCTACAACTTAAATATAACAGGTGTAAAAAAAAAAACATCTTAGTTTTCTTATAATGGTAGCTGGATATTCATTTCATGAAAATGCCACATATGATAGTAATAATGCTTAAAAACTGAACCCTGGTGAAAAAACAATCTTTATCCTTGAAGGCTTAATTTTATATTTATATTAATGTCTAGTTATCCACAGAGTTTTTTTTTTAAAATGATCTTTTTAGTAGAAGAGTGACACAAGATCATTATCATTAGTACATAGCAACTAAAAGTTGTAAGTAATAAAAACATAAATTACGAAAAGAAAAATAAACAAGACATATATGATTAATAATCATGTTTCCGGTCAGACTTTTTATCATAATGCACAACATTTATAACTACCAAGAATTTGAAGACAATGAAAATGTAAGAAAATTGTTGAACTGAATAACAAAACTTATTTTGAAGCTTCTGCTAACTGGTTCTAATCTTCTATGGTCAAGGGACAGAAGCAAAACATTAAACAGTTTAAAACCTAAGATTACAAGTAGCTTAGTTTGATAGCATTTCGCAAGACTAGACGGTTTTTTTTACAATAAATGTGTGATCTTTCACAATATGAGTAGTACATATACACTGTGCTGTAGCTAATGAAAAGAAAATTATTGTTGTAAATCAACATTCATCCTTCGCAATAATGCTCTCGTTTCTGTCATCTACCTCACAACAGCAACAATTAAATTTAATCTACTGATTTTTATATTAAATTTAAATAATACATATATAAAAATTTATTTTGTGATAATCATCGGTATGATAATCTTTTAGGTTGCCCAGTGAATTATTAGAGTTTTCTTATTTATTTGGAAATTTGCTTTGATATACAAGTGCTTTGAATTATGTGCACATTTCAAGAACACAGTATGAGGTTCTTTGGTACATCCCTTGCCAAGCATATTATATTTTCCTTCTGCAGTCTCTATCTTGCTATAAATATATCTAATTGTGATCTTTTTAAGTGGTAAACTAGGCGTCCTTAGGCTAGGGTACATGAAGTTTTGGGAGGCTACGAATTCCGGGCAGAATGTGACCAGCATTAAAAAGAGAACCTATGGTACTAAGATGCCTTCTGAAAAATCATCTTGTTTTGTAAAGACTCACCATGGATATAAAGAAAATATCAGAGGAAGACATGGTTTGAAGATATTCCTTGTTTTTCTGTCTCAGCCTCTTCGCATACAGCATGGACAGGACCACTGAGCAAGGTGAGACTTTATTGCATCTGCAACAAACAATTTATTATTATAAAGAAAGATATTTAATTTTTTTTTTAAATGAATACAACTCACTGTACTTTAAAAAAATCAGGAGAGAAATTAATCAGTACAATTACTTTCTGCTTTAGCATCATTTCACACCCTACAAACATTTCAGTATTGTCAATCTACTAATGAATTAGCAGCGAGTCTAAAATTTATTTTGAAGCAATTAAATTGCATCTCTTAAGTAACTGATGATTTTCAATGTTGTGAATCAACATAATTTAGAGAAACTGCACAGACATTAACTCATTCCCTCCGGCAGCGCTGCTTCCGGACTTAATTTATTTTCCTGAGAAAAGGGAAGCAACTCAGTTTTGAAATTCATTTATATTTTTAAAATATTTTTTTAAGTTGCTAAATATTATTTAATGTTAATGAATTAAGAACAAATGCAACAAAACATGAATAAGGTTTAATATAAATATAACATTAGCGGGGAAAAAATAACAAACAATGGCAAAAAAAATCGATTTTCGGCACCTCGGATGAACACATGCTACATTTAGACATGCCGTACTTAAATTAAGCACACGTAGTTTTAAAGTGAAACAAGATAAAAACTTCCGGTTTCTAAATTAAAATCACGCAAAAATCACGCCATAGCCGGAAGTCTCGAGGGACGCGAGATTTCATTGCTATTTTTAACTAAAAATAAGAGAGGTGTGTTGCTATGCGCCGGGACGCATTTGGACGCATCCGGCAAAACCCGTAAAGGACGCATTTAGTCGCAACCGCCGGGAATGAGTTAACTGACTCCACAAAATCTTGAATGGCTATGAATACTTAAACTTGTGGTTGTCAGTATTAGCACAAGCCAACCTGTATGGTTTACCCATACTTTGTACAGATTTTTTAATTCCATAGGTTGGTCTGTATGGTTTTAGTATTGAGTGGGATGTTGTTGAAAGCTAAGCTGGTATCTATTTTTAAAAAAATAAATCCCTTTGTCAAAATGATTTTTTTTAAAACTGAGATCACCTGATGACATTAGATGCTGTATACAGATCAACATGACCTAGCTTTTCAGGGACGCTTTCATGGAAATAATCAACAGCGAGTTCTGAGGAATGTAAATGTAATACAAAATCAAATCACTTGATTCATTTTCAACTACTATATTAAAACAAATAGATTTTTTATTTGCTTCACTGTAATGTCAAAGTCAAATGAACTTAGATAACATAAAAATAGTTAATTTAACCTGTTAATGGAAGGGAAGGCTCTTCCAAATCGGCCATGTCTCCATAATAAAGGCGACGCCTCATTCGCTTGCGAAAGTTAGAATCCATTCTTCTTTGCTGAAAATTTAAGATGTAGAGAAAAATAAAGTTAATGATACCTGCTGATAAGATTAAATTTAATACTGCTAAGTCACACTATAACTCTAAATTGAATTTGAAAACAGGAGATTCAAATGAAAGTGAGTCAAGTCATTACCAAAATCAAAATGAAGATTTCAAAAATTCAAAACCTGCTTACAAAGTTTGAAAGGTCAATTTCAAAATTTAAATACTCTTTTGTTGATTACATAAGTAGTGTGGGTAAATCCACGCAGTAGACTGAGTAGAAGATATTATAAGTTCTCTTATTACTAATATTTTTAGTACTTTGGCCTAATTGGTGGGCTAATCTTTTAATCCTTAAAAAAATTTTAATTTAAACCTTATCATCTGAGAGTGATTCTGTCATCATATTAATATTACTTGCTCCAAAGTTCTAAATGAATTTAAAGTAATCTATTTCTAAAGTTATAATTATGAATATAAAATTGTCACAATTTACATTGACTTTGAAACCTTGGAGTGTTCACAAAAATGACCATCCTGTATCTTACTGTATGTCAATCTCTAGGCTACTAGTTCTAGCCTTGTAGGCTTAGGTCTATTTCAAACTATTTGTTACAGTTACAGTGAGTAATATGACTAGTATGACTTAGTCTTAGATTGGTCTCTGGTCTAATAACTACACCCTAGCCCTAGTAAAATAAGTTATAAGTCACTGGGTGTGTTAATGTTATTTCTAGTTGAGAGAAGTAGTAAGGGGGTAGCCTAATGGCCTGAGTAAAAATATTCAATCATAGTAATAGTACTTAAATACTAAGTCTAACTATGACTATACTATTCTTGACTATCTATTGTGTATAATTTAGTATAAGTATAAGCATAGCCCTTCTACTATTGCTACGACTTCACTCTGACACATTGGGCATTGCTACTACTTTTCTAAGACTCAAGACTAAGTCTATTTACTTTATAACTTAACAAAAATTAATTAAAGTTATAAGTTTACTAATGTACTAATCTTAAATAGTTTACTCTCAGCTTAGGCTTAGGCCTAGGCTACTGACTGAAAAAATGAGACCCTAACTTAGGGTGACCAAACATCCCATTTTTTCATGATCGTACCCATTGTAGTGATGTGGGCTCGCGTGGTGGCTGCACTGTTCCCCTCCACCAGTGTCCCTGCCATAGATCTTAAATGTAAATGTATAGTATAGCGAAAGACACGAGACTTGAAGCAGCGAGGGGGGAGGGGAGGATGCAACTGCGCAGAAACCAATTTTAATTCCGCTACCACTACACGTAATAAGTTAGTCTTATGTGTGATCCCAGCTGGCCTGTTCATGTCAGAGTGACAAGTGTTTGTTTTGGGTGTTGAACCTTATTCTTTAATTTTATAGTATCTTAATATCTTCTCATGTAGATAATCATTAATAATTATGCCCAAGCGTCAATGTAAGTTTATGGAGGAGTATTCCAAAGAGTGGAAATATATTAAAAAATGACGCTATGAAAGTGAACCCGAGTGCACAGTTTGCAATAATGTTTTTAGGTACTGGTATACTATTCCCCCAGTGCCCCAAGACCTTCCTTTCTTGAAAGTGTCCCGTTTTTTCCAGTTCATGATTTGGTCACCCTACCGGGCCCTACCCTAACTGAACTAACGGCCTCTTACTTAGTCGCTTGGTCATAGGTCATAGTGGTAATAGTAATTTGTTTTCATTCTTCATATTGTTAATATGTAGAATATTGTGATAATAACTATTGGATTGGCCAATATAATAATTCAACGTGAGTCACTGTGTGTCAAGTGTGACTAATCTGTTCTGTATTCTGTATTCATATTGAGTTGACTCATAACTCATACTCATTATTTTTATTAAAATTAAATAATATAAGCCTAATCAGTCAGTATCTGATAAGGGGACACACACAAATACTATATAGTTTAAAATAGGCATAGGCCTCCTGCTCTTGATAACAGGAGTACAGCCGTAGTGAAAACAAACCTGCATGATAATTTCCACTGAAAATCTATACTATATCCAAATCACATATAACCTATTTGGCCGCCATACTTGCACAGCAGCATAAAATATGCGTTGCCATTATAAATTTCGTAAAAAACCCAGGGGAAAATTTTTTTTTAAAAAGCCCATTTGAACCCAGCTCTAAAGCTATGCGATTTTATTACATTTTTTAAATCCCTTTCAAGGACTTAATGTGGTTTGTTGTCGGAAAAAAATGTTTTATTATAAGGAACGTCACAATCTCTTATCCATTCTAAATAAGCTTATAAAATATCTTAGTTATCCGCTTTATTAAGTTAGTTTTTTTTTTAATTTTAAGCCTCCTTAATTATTTGTATTTAAATGAGACCCTAACTGTATATATTTTTTTTTAAAGCAGACCACCATGTATTATGTTATTTGTATTGAAATAGCCGTTTCTGTTGTTGTGCCTATTTTTTATGCTATTCAAAGCACGTTGGCCCTACTTTTAAATGTAAATTCTGCGCTATAAAGTAAGGTGTATGACATCGATCAACAGAATAAAACATACTAATTAAAGCTGTTATAAAGCTGTTGTATAGCGAACAAAGAATGGCTGCATAAAAAGTCAACACATTTACATAGATCACAGTCAGGGTTTCTTTCATCTAGATCTCCGTGGGGGGTGGGGGGACTGCACCCGCTGGGAACGCCAAGTGCCCCCCCCCCGAGCAAAAATATGTCCAACAATAAATTAACTGGCACTGCCCCATCCCCCCC